AAATTCCTTTACAAAACAAAAGCAATTTTCCAAGCAAATGAAAGCATGTAATGTAGTGATCCTCAAAAAGTACAAATATTCCCCTGATAGTGGTTTAGACTCATTCATTCTGCATTTCCCTGTAATCTCTCTTACATTGTTTGCACCGTCTTTTGCTACCCAATTGATCTTCAGCACATTCAGTATATATTAGTTGGTTCTAGTGCTTTGCTTGATTTGGGATGAATTCAAAAGACATCTATGAACTCAGAGAGCAGATTCCCAGATGCTTGGGAAGGGTTGGGACCCTTCTAACACTTTTGCCTTCAGCAAAAATTATTTCAATATAATTATAGTAGATAGCTTTCAATATGTCATCTCTATTATAGCTGCTGTAAATTATAAAGTGAATTGCCTGTATACAAGTATTTCTTCTGGTACAAGTAGAGTGGAAGAGTGGCATACAGCATGATGTATCTTTTCCTTTTTAATTGACAAGAAATATTGAGGTGAAATTTCATTTCTAAAAATCCAGTGTGCCCATTTCCTATTGGTAGGAGTGGGGAAAGCAAGAAAAGTCCTCAGTTCTTAAAAACAAGGCTCTCTGGATCCCTTGCTTAAGTTCATTAGGAATTTATCCATCATAACAGTTGGGTCTTTAATCATAAAAAATCTTTGAAAGGTACAATAAGGATACTTTTCAAAACTTGTACTTAATCAACAAGAAGAGAAGGAACCAGGCTTGTGCCTCAGCCAGAGGAACATAATATACCCAAGATAAAAGTATTAGCAGACAGTTGTAACCTTTGCAAAATTGTCATATTCTTGCTAAGTGTCAGAATCGACAAGACAAAAGAATAAAAAGTAATTTTTTTTTGTCTTTCTACGTTTTATCGGTACCGGGGATTGAACTCACGACTGCCTGCTTGCAAAGCAGGCGCTTATGCTGCTGAGCTAAACCTCCAACCCCAGTAATTTTGTTTTGTTTTGAGTAGTGGTAATGCTCAAGAATCTCATTCTAATACATATTACATACCTAATATTCCAAAAGCATACACAAGTGAATTTACATAATTAACCATCAAAAATAATTGAACTTGAGCTTACATAATTGAAACATATATAATCAGTATGATCAAAAGTTCAACATATGAACTTTTCTGGGAGAAAAATACAGGATTTTAAAGACAATACCATCTTTAACAGGCACACATGTGCACAGGCACACACATGTACATACAATTCAGCCTTGCAGCTTGTATATAATTTTGCTTAATTTTGTAAGTTTCAGTTTGCTTAGCTTTGTACATATGGCAGTGCTTACAAGGTATTTTAGTTTACTGTAATGGTGGTATTTGTTAATTTTGTGGCAATCTAAATCTAAACAGGCTTCAGACACATTTTCATCATAGTTTTACTGTAAAACACAGCAAAGCGAAAATCTAAAATTGCTACATAGTTTTTCTATTTGTAAAACAATGCAATTCTGTAATGAAGCCTCTAGCTTAACATGTATGTTCTATTTACTGATATGCCTTCTGTCACTCAGAATACTCATGATCACTTTTACAAAGAAAAAGATAATATTTTGGAAAAAGTTAAAATGTTTTCCCATGTGCTTTGTTTCCATTTCAAATATAACCCATTATGAGCAAATTCAATAAAACCAAAAAATATTTGAATTGTTTCCCTAGTCTACATGGGTAGCTGCAAATTCAATGGTCAAGGATGGCAAATTGTCAGAAACTGATTTCAATGCCTGATTCTAACATTAACTAATAAGTAACTTTGGACATTTGACCCATGAGTCTCATTTTCTCATCTATAAAATGGAAATTATAATATCTGTTTTAGAAATATTGTCTCTTTACTTCATATACCCCTGTTTAGCCCTTCTAGTAACATCATAGTATATTCCTGAAAAGTCCATATGGTCTTGTACTCTAAAGAACTGAAGGGAAAGTTGACTGCTTTGTGGCAAAAATCATCAATTCTAATAATTCAGGAGAACTACAGACAAAAGAGCTATAAAAGCCAGGTCCAAAGACAAGAAGAGAATTCAACCCTGTTAGATGATTTCTAAAACAATTCAGAACCTATAGGGAAAAGTTTGTAAAACAAAATTTTGCAGATTCTGCCAACTAATCATCATACCATATCTATTTGTCCCTAATACTGCATAAACTTCATATATTTTTGCTTTTGAAAATATTTAAAAAGAGAAAGAAAACATACATCTAAATGGTTATTAGGCTACAGACTATATCTAGAAATAAGATTCATGATTTTTACATTTATATCTCAATTTTACATTTAATGTAAAAACAAAAAAGGAGCTTAACTGATATAGAACCTGTGAATATGCGTGTTTTTAAAGCAAAAAGAAAGAAAAAAGCAAACATAAGACTTGCTCTGTCCTCCCTAAAAATCCTGATGATTTGATTCTGGTATTCGCTAAGAAAACGGATAACTAAATATCTCAAGGCAATTCTTTAAGGTACTTTTAAAGTAAAGAGACACAAGTTCTTGCCATTGACTGATGCCAGCCAGCTGTGCCCAACTCCTAAATAGGTTATGTAGAGAAAAGAATAAGGCATATGTGGAGAAACATGGCTGGGGGATAGTAAAAAAACAACCTTAATTTTTCAGCCAAAAAGTGGACTATTTGGCCCCTAATATTATACTGTACATATTTCCAGACAAGTTGAATGGTGGTATTCACCTAGTAAATATGTAGATTTAACATAAAGTTATGCAATCAGAATTATACTACAAATTAGAACCCTTTTCTACTGTTTATGCTTAAGGCAACCTTTTCAACCATGGCTTATTTTGTTTACACTCAATTATTTATATGTCAAATAAGAAAGTTAGATTTTTTTCATGTATGTGTATGTAATTTTTCCAAAATTCTTACTTGCACATTTCCCACCAAAATTTATTCCTACAAATGAGATATACTTTTAGATCCTACAAAGTCTTTATTTGGAGAAACTAGAAAACATTTTATTTAATTTACATTTCATCTTAAGATCTAACACTACATAAATTTTTCCTCTCTTAAAACACACTAACCCCTGGGAAAGAATTCAGTATTCAATACCATCATATTCACAGTATGAGAAAAGACAATGGAAGTCAGGAAAGAAATATAACAGGAGTGAAACTACACAGGAAAATTTTAAGAAAAACTAGTATTAAAACTGAACATGGGTTGCTAGGGATTAGTGGAGAAAGAGAGATAGAGGGAGAGGGATAAATAGCACCAGAGGATCTTTAGAACAATGAAAACAGTCTGTGATCCTATTAGGTTGTACATTTGTCCAAATCCATAAAATGTATATCATCAAGAATGAACCCTAAGGGCTGGAGATTTAGCTCAGCGGCATAAGCGCCTGCCTTGCAAGCAGGCAGTTGTGAGTTCAATCCCCGGTACTGATAAAAAAGGAAAAAGACAAAAAAAAAAAAAAAAGAAGAAGAATGAACCCTAATGTAAGCTATGGACTTTGGGCACATGTCGATGTAGATCCATCAACTGTAATGAATGTATCACTCTAGTGGGAGACACTGATAATGGGTAATGCTATGCATATGTGGTAGCAGAGAATCTATAGATGTCTATACTTTCCTCATAATTTCACTGTGAATCTAAAACTGCTCGAAACACAAAAAATCTTTTAAAAAAACTCACCAGGACTTTCAGTTAACACCACAATAGGTGAACTTTAAGTAACTGCACATAGAGTAAAGTACTGAGAGGTAAGATTATATCACAACTAAGCCTTGCTTTTAAATTTATCATCAGAAAGCCTAGGGGGAGAAATAAAATAAAATTTACAAAATGCTATTTTTGGTTGAATCCTATGAAATCATCAATATGCAACTTTTTTGTTTCTGAGGCATGGTATTCCTATGTTATGCTGCCCAGGATATTGGGCTCCAGTCTCAGCTTCCCAGGTAACAACTACAGATACATGTCACTGTGCCCAACTTCCAAATCTGTCTGACTCTTGAACTTGGTGATTTCAAAGGGTTCAACTCAATGCTATTTCCTTATTTTTGTGTATGTTTGAAGGTTTTTCATTAGAATGGTGTTTGAAATTATCTTCAAATGAAAACTAAGCAAATGGGAATTTCTCAAACTAAGAGACATTTCAGTTTTAAATTAAGTAAGTATGTTTCAAATGAACCACCATTTTACCTTATTATTATGTTGAACCCAGAACCCTCTTATTCTCTTCCATATTTTAACATCTCTGAAGTTTGGAAACATTTTGTAGTCAATGGAATGCTATAGTTAAAATGGCAGGGTTGACGTTTTTCTTGGTGATACATAAAACAATGATACAGTTTAAACTCAGTTTAAACTAAGATACCTTAGACTTGATGAAGCATAGTTAATAAAATTGCTGAGAATATGATTTTCAATTCTTAATTTCTTTGTAATCATAAATTTAGCACACAATGCCTGGTATGTTTTGTCTTAAAGTAACCATAATTATCCTGGGAGGTCTCATCCTCAGAAAGACAGCCAGAACCCGATTTCTTTGTGAAGTTACTTCTTTCCTATACAGTAGTCTGGCATAATCTGTGAGAGTTAATTCCCAGGAGGATTCTAGAGCTCATAGGAGATAAAAGCTCACTATGTAATGCCTCCCTTCAAAAATTGTCAGTTTATGAACAAAGCTAGTACGTAAATGTAATTATACAGAGCCCTGAAGGTCACCAAGTATGTAGTGAGCCTGAGGGATCCAGGGAAGATGATTGCATATATGACAGTAAGGGCGTGTGCATGTGAAGAATACAAGTAGCTGGGATAAGATAGGGTTAGCTTCACTTCCAAAATCTCAACAAGTCTTCATTTCATTACTCCAATAACTCACTTGGATCTTGGCATTGCCCTTATATGTTTTGCTCTTCATGTTATCACCTACAACTCACAGCCCTCAGAATCATTAACACTGTCTAGCAGAAGAGCAACAGAGGGTTTGTGCAGGACTATGAGAGTGGCGGCTGCTGACCTGTTCATATTTCTCCAGTTCTGTGTGATAGATTTGTCTGATCTGGGTCAATTTGGCTCTGTAATCTGAGTGTTCAATAGAGTTATCTGAAGAACCTCCAGAGGCTGCCGCGGCTGCAGCTGCTGCCGCCGATCCCCCACCTTTCTCAGGACCTGAAACCCCTTCTGCCAAAAGCATATTGTCCAGTCTCATTAGCTGGGGATCGGGAGGGTCTTCCTCCTGGGCTCCTCTGATGCTGAGACCTTCAAGGAAAAGAGAGACAGAGAAGAAGCGAGAAACAGAGGACAAACAGTGTGAGTATTTTGTTTATTTGAGAAAATGATCAAACAACATCAGCGTACTACAATTCAAGCTGAGAATTTCATTACTCACATTTGATCAACGTGAGAAAATTACTTTCAAAATAATATTGACATACATTCTAGAATTTCTAATATTTCCCAAATTATCCCGTATCAAATTCTTAGGAAAAGGTAACTCTGACTTCTTGGAATAAACTAATCATACAAGCTTGTTAGATGTAGATGATTTAAGCGTAAAATGGAACGGGTGAAAATTGAGGGTTTAAAGATAGAAAATAATTTAAAGATAATAAATAATTTCTTGAATAAAAATATATTCAAGAGGTGGTTACTCTGTTTCTGTACAATTTGAAAAACAGAATTAAAATTCCTGTAAATCACTCTACAAGCTATATCCAAAAATTAGAAAATAAACAGAATTAGATGACTTTTCCATTCAGAAGAAAACACATAAAACAAGGCAACTTGCTATAGTTATCATATATTCAAGCAACTGTCAGCAAACTATAAAACCAGCACACTAAATACGGTATTAAAAATGTGGCATTGATATGATAATACAGTGCTGGGCCAGTAGTCTCAATCTAATTTTGCTTTTAAATCAAGAACTTTAAAAAAAAAAAAAGAAAGAAAGAAAGAAACTTCCTAAGTGATGCCCAGTCAGCAACCTCTTCTGAGTACTATAGATCATAGCTGACAATTCATAGGTTTAATCAGGTCACACAGGCTTTCTGCCAAGATGTTTTCAACAACAAAGATGACAAAGTTTAAAAATAATTATCATTGTACAAAGAGCACTGAAGTCATGACAGCTCAAAATCAGCATTTTCATTAATGTGTAACACAATCTAAAATATCCCAGCCCAATTAACCTCTGTAAATCTGTTTAAAGGCAGGTTCCCCACACTAGTTGTGAGGCTTCTTGGGAAATGGAAAGGAAGCTAGCATCTTGCATGTTTGCATTTGGATTCTGCCTTTTACATCTATGCCTGTTATTGTTTATCCACAGTGGTGCACACCCTGTCTACTGCAACTTACATGACAGTAACATCTATAAGCTGCCAAGTACTCAACTGATCACCAGCCCTGTGATTTTATATGCTAGCCTAAAACTACCATCAATTCTTTTAAGAACAGATTTCATTCATAGGTGTCCTGAATTATAACCATAGCATGACAGAGCCTTGGTTGTCTTAACACACACAACTTTAATTTTCTCCCCTAAAATACTTTAAAGCTGTCACTTTTATTTAAAAGTATATTTCAGAATAATTTCAACTAGATAATGAAACTCATAATAATTTAAAATTATATCTGTTGCCTATCAGAGGCAAATAGATAAGACTTGAAACTATAATACACTAAAACAATAAATTAATTTAGGGAAGTAAGTCACATGTGTGACTCTGTATCAATGCATTCACTGCTGATAGCCAAATGGGCTATCTCTTTTAAAACAACAACAAAAACCTGCCTAATATTGATCCTAGAATAGCCTTACATTGGCTAAGCTGCAGTTTTTAATTTAACACCTTTTATTTTATTTTCTTCTAATTCACTGGGACATTGTAAGTGCGATAATTTCATGGCCTGAATATGCTCATAGTTCATACACCAAGTTTCCTGTGTCCTTGACATGCAGTGAGGGATTACTATAATCTTTTATCTTGCACTTTGGACTGTTTCGTTTTATATTTGTTTGGGAGCTCCTTATGTTTCTCCTTTATAAACTCATTTTTTTGCTCAACTTTTTGTATATTTATTATTTATTATATTTACAGATAATAGTTTTCTCCTAGGAATGTGGTGTGTGTGTGTGTGTTTAATCTACCTTCAAGGTTCTGCTAGCTTTCTAATTTTTATTTTGCATGTACTTAACCACATTGATCTTTTGCCTATGAACAAATGATGAATTTCTTTATAGTAGATCAACAGCCATAGTTGATTATAAAATGTTTATATTCCTCTGTACTTCCCTATACAAGTGCAATAGATAAGAGAAAATGCTCCATGACTAATCATGGAGAAGCAGATCATACAGGAGAAAGAAGGAAATTCATCAAGAAGAAATGCAAAAGATTCAAACTAATTTGCCACCTATGACACTTTTATGCAAGCTAATATGTAAATAAACCACTATAACAGTAAGAAGTAACCCTTAAGTTCAATAACAGTGGATGCAAAAATAATTTTAAATATAAATAACAGCCACTATAACATTTTTCATCATAAAAAATATTTTATTCCTAAAATCCTAAGTAAATCAACATGTGTTTACCTCAAGAACAAAGAAAAAGGTTTAATACAATCTTTCCATATTTACTTTATAAATTATGTGCAACAAATCTCATCAGAAAATCATTTTCTGACAAAAAAAAGCCACAGTTCATTGCATTAAAAGTATTAGAGCACTTTGCTTTTAGGCAGTACTGAGGAGACTATCAATAATGAAGTCATTTTCATACCTATAGTTTGAAAAGTGATTCCAATTGTTTTCTCCTTTAAGCAAAGTCATAGTAATGAGAACTCTTCATAGTAATACGTGGTTTCCAAAGTTATTTACAATTTGAATATTTACTTATTTTCTCATTTTACACTGAGTTATTATTATATTCTCAATCCTCTCTATTATGAATCTACTTATTTAGCTTACTAACCTTCCAAAAATCATATTTGTTTTCCAGTCATAACATCTACTCCTCTGAGTACCTACACAAATTGTAATGAGCCTAAATTTACAAGGGTTAGAATGAATCAGACTGTGTGGTAATTACAAGATCCTGACACTTGCATTTAAACTTGATAAAAATAATAATTTATAAAATAGTTATTCTTATTTTTTTATGCAAAGTGTATGTATACCGGAGCATATAAAAAGGTTTACAAAGTTTTGCATCTGGGATCTTTGATCATCACAGCAGTACAAAGTTGGGGGAAAAATACCAACAAACCTATTTTCAGTCTACTTGTAATCATAGCATTCATTTCAATATCTCTAAGATTTAGAGAAATCATACAAACACAGTAAAACATTGTTTAACAATGAACTTGGCTTTGTTATAAGCCCACAGTTTTTGCATATCTTTCAGCAAATCCTAATTAGCTGTCTTTCAACATGCTGTGCACCTGCCCCACAGATAATAGGAGGGAGCATCTGCATAGATGACTGCATTCCGAGGGCAATAAATAAATTGCGGGTCAAAATTATTACAAAGCTTTCTCCGAATAAACGCATACCCTTCACAATACTAAGCTGCAGATGTGAAAAGTACCTAAAGCCCACTCAAATGGTATGATTACGGGGCTGTTTGAGTTTAATAATCTGACTGTAATTCAGGCATTTTCAACAGCTCATTAAGGGTTCATTAATATATAGGCAAGCTTGTGAATTATAAATAAGCAGATTAGAAATCTGTATTGGCTAGACTGGACTGTACTAGCCTCCTTAACAGAATTTCATGTAATATAATGAAGGTTTGACCTCAAAGAAGGAGGTACAAACACAGAGCACTAAGTAAGCTTTTTGGCTCTCTCATTTCAAAGACTATGACTAACTTTTGTTTATCCAGAAGTGAAGAATGGTTTCAGATCACAACTATTCAAAAATGTGCTATACATAGTCATAAATTAGGCATAACTAAGATCTAACTCCAAAATATTTCCCTGATCAGGGAAGCCACACAAAATTCATAATAATGACAAACAAAAGTTATTATCAAATCATTTTTACTTTGTAAAGAGTACATTATTTCAACCTGCTACAAAACAAAAAGCTGTTATGGAAACTCGAGTTTTTAAATTTTTCCTCTCTATTATGCATACTATAAAACAAGACCCCAAATTACTCCTAAGACTAGGCCTACAAAACCTGGGTAATTTTGTTCTCTGGTGAACTTATTTTCGATTCATTCAAGTACTACCTCAGTGCTAGCTCACAGAATAGAGTAATGCTACAGACCAGATCAGTTTTTTCAGCAGGCTCTAAATCTTGACCACTTTGAAATAAGTAACAATTCTAGTATTTCCAGTTATTCTTATTTTTATTATTTTCTTTCTTTTTTGAGATAGGGTCTTGTCACTTAGTGCAGGCTGACCTGGACTCAATATGTAGACTAAGCTGACCTCAAACTCACTGTGATTCCCATGCCTCAGCCTCTGAAATGTTGGAATTACATTGTACACCACCACACCCAGCCGTAGCTTTTCAATTTTGTGTTTGTTATTTAAAAATAACAACTTTGGTGGTCAGAAGTTACAAAGTTAATTAGTGAAAACACCTATATTATTTCCTGTGCTTTCTTCATTTAAAAAAATAAAATCTGCAATTTGAAAAACATAACCATATAAACAATAAAGAGAAATTCATAGAGAGATGTTACTTTCCAAACATAAAAAAGATAAAATAATTTGATATCTGGAGTTCTTAAGTAAGAAGCTACATAAAGCAGAAACACCCTGGACATGAAAGTAAAGTCACAAGTCTGTGGTTGTAAGATATCATTTAAAACTGTTTCTCTTCCGTTTGTGAAAACTGGCATACAATTCGGAAACAAAATAGAGAAAGACACTGACAAACTCTCAAGGCACAAATTGTCTAAACTAGACTAAAGAATTAGGGATTTTAGGGGTGGGAGGTCAGGTTCTCAGAGATAACAATGGATAAACTAGAGGCAATGCTAAAAAGCCAAGTCCAAATCCAGAGAAGGTCAGACTGAAAGGAAGGTACGACAGTGAAAAAAACAAACTGAGTATCACTACCTCCTGAAGAAAGATCTGGAATAAGAGCTGCACCTGAATTTCATATTCTTCTTAGATCTAAAATGAGAACTCTAATGAAAGGGAAGACACACTATTTTATAGACAGAAGTAGAAAACTATAAAACTAACTTTTAAAATATTATGTGGAAATGATAAACAAGACAGCTGTCTATCACAACCCA